AGAGGAACACAGGTACAAAGAGAAAAGATGAGTAAGGTTCTATCAGTAATATCTCTCAACATGAATGGACTAAATGCCCCAATCAAAAGACACAGGGTAGCTGAATGGATAAGAAAACATGACCCACACATATGCTGCCTACAAGAGACCCACCTCAGAGCAAGAGACCTACACAGATTGAAAGTAAAGGGATGGAAAAAAATATTCCAAGCAAATGGGCAAGAGAAAAAGGCCGGGGTTGCCATACTTGTATCAGACAAAGTAGATTTCAGAACAAAGGCCATAAAAAGAGACCCAGAGGGGCACTTTATAATACTTAAAGGAAGAATCTATCAAGAAGACATCAACATTGTAAACTTATATGCTCCCAATATAGGAGCCCCCAAGTTTATAAGGAAATTGTTGGATGATTTCAAAAAAGATATAGACAGCAACACACTGATAGTAGGGGATTTCAACACCCCACTGTCAAAAATGGACAGATCTTCCAAACAAAACATTAATAAACATATTGTGGCGCTGAATGACACACTGAATCAAAGAGACTTAACTGACATATATAGAACCTTACATCGCAAAGAAGCAAAATACACAGTCTTTTCAAATGCTCATGGCAGTTTTTCAAAGATAGGCCACATCATAGGACACAAAGCAAACCTCAGCAAATTCAGGAAAACTGAAATAATACCAAACTTTTTCTCGGACCACAAGCACTTGAAACTGGAAATCAACCTCAAAGAGAAACTTCAAAAACTTGCAAACTCATGGAGACTGAACAGTACACTATTAAACAATGAATGGGTCAATAATGAGATAAGAAAAGAAATCAAAAAATTTCTGGAAACAAATGAAAATGAACAGACAACAGTCCAAAACCTATGGGACACAGCAAAGGCGGTCCTGAGAGGGAAGTTCATAGCAATACAGGCTTACCTAAAAAAGATAGAAACATTTCAAATAAAAGACCTAACACTACAACTTCAAGAACTGGAGAAACAACAACAAATAAATGCCAGAGCAAGTAGAAGGAAGGAAATAGTCAAGATTAGAGCAGAACTGAATGACATGGAGACGAAAAGAACAATTCAAAGGATCAACCAATCCAGAAGCTGGTTCTTTGAAAAGATAAATAAAATTGACAAGCCTTTAAGCAGACTCATCAAGGAAAAAAGGGAGAGGACCCAAATTAATAATATCAGAAACAAAAGAGGAGAAATAACATCTATACCACAGAAATACAAAGGATTGTCAGAAACTACATTGAACAATTATATGCCAAGAAATTTGAAAATCTTGACGAAATGGACAAATTTTTAGAAAAGTATAATCTTCCAACACTGAAGGAGGAAGAAACAGAAAGCTTGAACAGACGGATAACAACTGGGGAAACTGAAGCAGTAATCAAGAAACTCCCGACACAGAAAAGCCCTGGGCCAGACAGTTTCACAGGAGAATTTTACAAAACATTTAAGGAAGAGCTAACCCCTGTCCTTCTCAGACTATTCCAAAAAATCCAAGAGGAGGGAAGACTCCCAGACTCTTTCTATGAGGCCAGCATCACCCTGATCCCAAAACCAGATAAAGACCCTACAAAGAAAGAAAACTACAGGCCGATTTCACTGATGAACAAAGATGCAAAAATCCTCAACAAAATATTGGCAAACCGCATCCAGCAATACATTCAAAAGATTATCCACCACAATCAAGTGGGATTCATCCCAGGCATGCAGGGATGGTTCAATATACGCAAATCAGTAAACGTGATACATCGCATATATAAAAGAAAAGACAAAAACCACATGACCATCAATAGATGCAGAAAAAGCATTCAATAAGATACAGCACCCATTTATGATCAAAACACTCAGCAAAATGGGAATAAATGGGGCATTCCTCAACGTAATAAAGGCCATATATGAAGAACCTACAGCCAACATCATACTCAACGGGCAAAAACTGAAAGCTTTCCCACTAAGATCGGGAACACGACAAGGATGTCCGCTTTCACCGCTTCTTTTCAACATCGTATTGGAAGTCCTGGCCACAGGGGTCAGACAAGAGAAAGAGATAAAAAGCATCCAAATAGGAAAGGAGAAAGTAAAGCTATCATTGTTTGCAGATGGCATGATAGGGTACGTAGAGAACCCTGTAGACTCTACCAAAAAACTCCTCAACCTAATAAGTGAATGTGGCAAAACAGCAGGATACAAAGTCAATATTCAGAAATCAAAGGCATTTTTGTACACCAGCAATGAAATAGAAGAAGAAATCAGAAAAAAAAATACCATTCGATATAGCAAGAAGAATAATAAAGTACCTAAGCATAAATTTAACCAAAGACGTAAAAGACCTGTACGCAGAAAACTATACAACATTGAAGAAAGAAATTAAGGAAGACACAAATAAATGGAAGCATATACCATGCTCATGGATTGGAAGAATTAATATCATCAAAATGTCCATACTACCCAAAGCAATGTATAGATTCAACACAATCCCTATTAAGATACCAATGACATATTTCACAGAAATAGAACAGACATTTCAAAAATTTATATGGAACCATAAACGACCCCGAATAGCTGCAGGAATTTTGAGAAAGAAAAACAAAGTAGGAGGGATCACAATACCGGACATCAAACTCTACTACAAAGCCACTATACTCAAAACAATCTGGTACCGGAACAAGAACAGATCCATAGACCAGTGGAACAGAATAGAAAGCCCAGAAATAAGCCCAGGTCTACATGGGCATCTAATATTTGACAAAGGGGGCAGAAGCATAAAATGGGGCAATAACAGCCTCTTCCACAAATCGTGTTGGGAGAGCTGGACGGCTACATGCAAAAAATTGAAATTGGATCATCAGCTGACACCATACACAAAAATAAACTCAACATGGATAAAAGACTTAAATATAAGTTGCAACACCATAAAAGTCCTCGAGGAGAACATTGGCAGGAAACTCTCAGATATCCCACGCAGCAATTTTTTCACTGGTATGTCTCCTAAAGCAAGGGACATAAAGGAAAGAATAAACAAGTGGGACCTCATCAAAATAAGAAGCTTCTGCATGGCTAAAGAAAACATCAGGAAAATGAAAAGGGAGCCAACTGTATGGGAAAATATATTCGCTAATGATACATCAGATAGAGTTTTGATCTCCAAGATATATAAAGAACTCACTCGACTCCAGTCCAAGAAGACAAACGATCCAATCAAAAAATAAACGGGCAAAGGACCCCGGCAGATGCTTTTCCAAGGAGGAGATACAGAGGGCCCAGAGGCATTGGAAAGGATGCTCAGCATCACTAGCCACCAGAGAAATGCAGATCAGAACCACCATGAGGTACCACCTCACACCGGTCAGAATGGCCATCATAAACAGATCCACAAACAACAGGTGCTGGCGAGGCTGTGGAGAAAAGGGAACCCTAATCCACTGTTGGTGGAAATGCAGACTGGTGCAGCCATTGTGGAAAGCAGTGTGGAATTTCCTCAAAAAGCTGAAAATGGAACTGCCTTTTGATCCAGGGATTCCCCTGCTGGGACTATACCCTAAGAACACCAAAATGCCAATACAAAAGAACCTATGCACCCCAATGTTCATAGCAGCACAATTTACAATAGCCAAGTGTTGGAAGCAACCTAAATGCCCATCAGTAGATGATTGGATCAAAAAATGATGGTACATATACACAATGGAATACTATGCGGCAGAAAGAAAAAAAGAACTACTAAACTTCGCGACAGCATGGATGGAACTGGAGAGCACTATGCTAAGTGAAATAAGCCAGGGGGCGAAAGATAAATACCATATGATCTCACCTATAAGCGGAACCTAACCAACAATACAAAGATGCAAGGAAAATAAGACCAGCAACACTGAAAGGAAAAGAAATCAAGAGACAAGAGGGAAGGAGGGAGGGGGGGCGGGGAAAAAGAAGGGAAGGGGAAAGTCAAGGAACATATAGCAAGGACTCATGGACAAAACCAAAGGGGAAGAGCTGAGGGAGGGAAGGAAGGAGGGGGCAAGGGAAAGTGATGGGGGGTAGGCAGAGACAAATGTATTTGTAAAAATAAATTAAAATAAATAAAAAAATAAAAAAAATACACTTGAGATCTGTTACTCTGGAGACAGCTACACAACTGCATAAAGATCTGTACACAAACATAACCATTCCAGGACTGTTTTAGAAAAAATGTTTAAAAACAAAGGCTGCTGAACTGTTTTCTCAGAAATGTCCTCTGAATTCACTGTCTGCTCCCAACATTACTGCCTACCTTGGCAATTATCTTACATCCAGATAAGCCTGACAATGCTGAAAATACACTTGCAGCTCAATTCTCACAACTACATAGTGAATGGGCCTCTACAGAAGCTTCTACCTGATCTCCTCGCTCCTTTTTCTCCTCCAGGTACTTACCAGTTTAAGTCCCAGCTTCTCAACCCAACCCAACTTCAACCAAAAGAGCTTCTAAGTGAAACGACATTTGTACAACAAATTCTAAGCTTAAAAAAAAAATGGTTTAAAAATCACTATATTAAACCCATCAAGCCAATAATCAGAAGGCGTAAACTGTTCACTTTTCCTTCCTTACTCTGAACAAGGGTTGAGTCAAGTAGCTGAATCTCAGCCAAAGGCAGTTCACGTCCAGTTTTGCAAAACCAAAGGAATATTGAACTTTGGAATGTATCTACCTCAAAGGAGGTCATCCAAATTGGATTTTTTCAAAACTAAGAAAAACAATTAATCACACAGGTAGCAACAGAAAAGTATCGTGACTTCCTGTTTACAAGTAGTAAAAGTGTGCTTTTACCCAGGAATGGAAATTGTGAGAAGAAAACTTGGTTCTAGAAGGGTGAGCAGAAATCTAGCAGAGAAGCAGTAAGTCATGGAGGAAGAGGAAAGAGATGGCACTCTGATCTTTCTGGAAAAGAGATGGAATGGCACAGTCTTTTCATACTTCTCTGCACTATCATATCACCTTATCTTTACCTCCACTACAAATGTGTCAATGATGTGCTCCTTGGGGAGGAACCAGTGGGCTACTTCCTCTTCATCCATCACTGGGGCAAGATGAAACCTCTTCAGGTAGCTGTTGGTTAATTCTCGAACTGCTTTGATATCTCTTGGTTCCATTGGTCTTAGGCCTGAAGTCTTTGTCACCTGTCAAAGGGAAAACAAAACAAATTGGGAAGTTTAGTAAAAGGTACTTTGCACTACAGTGTGGTCTACAGACCAGTTATGTCAGTGTCACAGGGAAGCTTGTTGGAAAGGCAGACTCTGGGATCCGTCAGAATCTGCAATTTAGCAAGATTCCCTGGTGATTCGTATATACATTAAAATTTGAGAAGCACTGAGTTAGAATATATGTTAGACAATGTGTTGTATCTTATCTTTTGTGTGCCAGGTCTTTGGTGAATACTGCCCATGACCCAAACAAAATCAAAGGAACCCTCCAAGTTGACCTGTATATCAGTGCCAAGAATTTTCACAGCCTAGATGACAGGGCAGAGCAGTCTCAGTGTGTGTTTTGGAGTACTGTGCTTTAAACTGGCCGTGTCTGACATTCTGAAAACACAGTTGAGGAGAGTTCAGAAACATTTTATTCAGCGGTCTTTGAAAAGGACATAGCAATTTGTTTTCATAAGTAAAAGTGAAATCACATTACCAGGAAGGGAAGGCAAGTGTTTTAGTAGCCAAGGTATTTCTAAAGGCAAATGGCTGGCTACCAAGAACTGGCCCTGGCCTCTCATGCCATCTTTTGATTCAAGGTGATCAGAATAGGCATTTAAGTTCATTATTCCAAAGCACCACAAATTTTTCATGAAGTCACAGGAATTAAATAACCTAAAGGTCAGGGCATTCGGATTTCTTCAGCTTTCTGTCCTGAAAAGAGCTCCAGACATCACTTAGCTCCCTAGGAACTGTCTAGGCATCAGGGCATGTGAATGTAGAAGTGAGAAAACCCACTCCGTGCTTGTCTGTACAAACAAAATACTAAAAGCTTAAAAATGCATTTTCATTTTTCCAGTTAATTTGGTTTTTTTCTTGAAAAAATGATGGATACACTTAAGTGATAACTTTAACATAAATACTGCTACTCTACCTTTTCTGTCCTGGTTATTTCTAAATATATTAAAAGCTTCCTCTAAAATTAGATCATTGCAATATCTGCATACCCCAGACTAGTAGAAAACAGGTTTTCATCTTGTGCTCTGGCTCTGATTGATGTTAGCAGTTGTGCTGGGGTTTCTAAGGTTCTGTGACAAAGAATGCTGATTATTGATTAGTGAGGAGAAGGAGATGGGAAATGTGTTCTTTGTATATACAGACCCAGTAGTTCTTAGCTAAGTATTTACTACGTAAAACTCAGCTGTGACTTATGTAATCTATAAAGACACAGTAATGTAGCTAAAATAGTCTAATGGTCTAATTGAGAGAATTTAAGTCCTTAACATTTATAATAATAGAGAACTCTTACTTCTAGCTTCTTGCAGCCCTCAAAGCAAAAGGATAAGAAATCTCCAGGTCCTGGTTTTCACCCTAGGCTAACCCTTCAGGCAAGCTGGGCAATAACAGCCTGAATATGTGTTGAATGAATGCCTGTGTTTTGTAACACGATCATTTATAAAGTGAAGTGAAGGCTACAGACATGAAAAAAAGTCACTGTCGGCTATGAAAAAAATGATGCTTCTGTGGCCTGACATTTATATGCAAGCCAGGCGTGAAATTACAATTTTCTTTTGTTTCCCTTGAGTCAATTTTAGTATTGGTAGAGTTTTTATACTGCAATTCATAGGAAGAGCCTATGTGTTTCCAAATACTGTTCAGTGTAATAAATATATACTTCTAAATGCTAGTCAGAAAACCAAAACCACATATGTTGCATACTGCAGTCATTAAAAAAGATTATTTTCCGCTATGAGGATGACTTTGATAAATTTTAAATAGCCTTTCTTAATATCAGACTTTTTTCTTTTTTGCTGGCTCAGTAACAATCAACAATATCACGCAATTAGAATAATCAATGAAAGCAACAGGATAAACGTTTATACAGAAAATTCAGAAATGAAGAAAAAGCTTGCCAACTTCCTTCTAAATCAAAATATGTTTTCTTTTATTTTGGATTTTTTAGAGAGAGGGGAAGGGAGGGAGAAAGAGGAGAGAAACATTGACGTGAGAGAGAAATATCGATTGGTTGCTTTCTGAAGGCTCCTTGACAGGGGACCAACCCACAACCCAGGCGTGGGTCCCAACCTGGAATCAAACCAGTGACCACTCCTTCCCCCCAGTTTGCAGGACAGTGCCCAACTAACTGAGCCACACCAGTCAGGACTAAAGCAAAATATTCTTCTGCAGCACAGTTATGAATTCAAGATTCATGCTGCAAAATCACTAAAACCAACATCCTGAAAGTAGCTGTTCTCAAATACTCAAATATTATGCTCTGAAAGATAATGGAGTACTTCCCAGAGCTTTGCTAATGTTGTTATAGCCATCCATATTTGTCATATTAGAAATTAGAAATTTTAAGACAAAAGAATATGTGTGTGTGTGTGTGTGTGTGTGTGTAAATAAAAACACAAATTTCATATAGCCTCTGGAAAGACTTTATAGCACACTTGTAAGATAATGAAAGTATAAAAATGCAAATTATGTTTTAGTATTATAATAAAAAGTACTGACTTCATGGACCCCCTGAAAGGGACTCAGGGACTTTTGAGAGCTACTCTCTCAAGTCTCTGAAGGTTGGAGATCCAGGTAGTAGAATGTAGCTGAGGAATACTCAGTGAAACTGTGTTTGGGCAAACAGGGAGAAAATATATAAACTTAGCAATTTATAGGCACTTCAAGTTTTTACAGAAGCATTAAAGTAGAAGAGAACAGACACCTGTCAGCTACAAAAAATATAAGGTCTTAGCAAACAGGGTGAGAATATTTAGTTTTCCTGACCAACAATGGCTTACGTATCTCAGGGCCTAAATTTGCTTCTTTCTGACATCATGAAGTCACATACTCTTCAAAAAAAATCTAGAGAAGCATGAAATAAATTTTAAAATGTAAAACAGAAACACTCAAATTGTAGCCGTTGTGTTCATAAGAGATGGGAAGAACATAAAGCTTAGATAACAATGGAAACTTTGGCATAATCTGAAGGGGTGGAGTGGTAATGTGTTCTGAATGGTTAGTAAAAAGTGAAAAATATTTTCCAGTAACTGAGAAAAATCTTAAATTTCATAAGCAAATTCTGTATCTCAATCAGACTTACTTTCCCACAGCCCAACTAATATGCATTACTCACTGGACTCCATGTATATTGAAATGTGTATAAAATCTGCTTACAAGATCATAAGGGAATAAAGCTCATAGTCTATCAAAAAACAGAAGTAGTGTCGTATGTCCAACTATGTGGGATGGATGTTGCAGGGGTTTCTAACATTTTGGAATCTCTGGGCCACATTAGAAGAAGATCTGTCTTGGGCCACACATTAAATACACAAACACAATGAAAACTGATGAGCTAAAAAAAGGTTTTAAGTAAATTTACAATTTTGTGTTGGGCCGTGTTCATAGCCATCCTGGGCCGCGTGTGGACCACTGGCCATGGGTTTGACACCCCTATGAACCAAGATTCCAGAGTGAAGAAGTAAGCAATGATTATGGTTATTTATTTGATTTAAAAAAGGAGCAATAGCACATTAAGCACTAAAAAAAAGTCATTTACTACTACCAAATCTAGAACATGTCATGTGTCTTAGCACATCTTCACAAGCGACACAGCAAAACACTGGGAGATTAATCTGACTCCTGTTCTTTATCTGATTCAAATTATTCCACGTTTAAGAGCATTAACAACAACAAAAAAAAATCCTACTTTTTTTGAAATGCTCAACACCATATTAAAAACAAACCAACGTTAGGGTTGAGACATGCATTACTTTGGAATAACCTTATTAGTATCTTAGAGATCAGCAGCCAATGGCATGGGCTCCAGGATAGTTTTGTCCTGACTTTAAACCTCTGGGTAAATGAGTCTGGCGTTTCCATGCCCTCTTCTGTGAAATGGGGAAAATGACCTGCCTCTCTTTGACTGTTATGAATAATAAATGAGGCTACAGATACACAAATGTCTAGCATGATGCTGGCCACAATAAATGTTACCCCATATTTAGAAGTCCACAAAAAAGATATAAAGCACACACATGAAGCAAAAACAATAATGAATCAGAAATAACATCCACAGGGCAAAAGCTGCATTCAGTGAGGTTCTTCTCTTTGTGATTAATGATATAAAATTGTTCTTAAAAGACGTGATTGCTAGCACTGGTATCACCCCTCTGGGCCCTTGTGAGAGAAGCAGGTGGCCTGGAGTATGCTGCAGTGTTCAGCTTCTAACTTAAGAGACTGCTGTCGGCATATTCCAATTTTCCAATACAGTGGGGCCTCAGTCCTCAAACTTAATTTGTTCCAGAAACAAATTAAGTTCCTTTGTTTGTCACCAAGAGACATGTGACTGATCATACAGGTATCAGCGTGAAAGGGTCAGTGGGTAGAGAATTGAGACCTGAAGTTTTGTTAGACAATCAAGACATTTTTTCTGTGAACTTGGATGAGAATGTAACTGTTCAAGAACCAAGATGTTTGAGGTTTGATTATATCTGTACTTTCATCTCTTCTACCCTTCCCCCCCGCCATTAATTTACTCTTTGTCTTTCTTCCCTTCCCTATCACTTAAAAGGGGGAAGGGAGACTGGAATATGCAATGAGAGCTGTTCGGACCTTGACAATTGTCCTTTCCTATCTTAACCTACACTCTAATGACTGCACAGCGAGACGTTTGGTGGGACGGAGCCCTGCTGCCTCCACAAGAGTGTTAAGAGCTGATGGCAGAAGCAAAGGGATCTAACAGGCAAAATATGCAAGTCTGGGGCCTGTACCCCAAGACTCCACGCATTAATGACAGGCCCTGTCTGAGTGTCAAACTTCACAAGCCTTAGTCTTTTCATCTGTAAAATGAGGATAAGAAGTGCCAACTTCAAAAGGTTATTTTAAGAATATACTGAATTACATATGTGAGAGTACTTTATAAAACTTCAGTTTATTGGGGCAATGAAAACCAATGCCTGACCAGTGACTTATTACCTACCAACTGTTATCTGACTTGACTAATTCTTGTACAAAAACACAAAGGCTGATGGACATAGTCAAGTCAAAAATCCTTTCAACAGCTCAAATTCTAATCCTGAATAAACCAATGATAGGTTCTAAAACCCTTCTTCTTCATTCCATTTTGGACAACCTACATGTAAGTGGGTGCTTTCCTTAGATACGTGCTAGACTGCCTTAGGTTCAATAAGCTAAAATTTGGGGAGACCAAAATGGAAGAGCATTAGACTCTAGTTAAGGTAGGTGTGCTTGAAATTTTTAATTCAGCTTAGAGAGAGCAAAGTAGTTAACTGGCAAGGAAGACACTGAGAATAAATGGTGCCTACACAGGGCATGTTTCATCTCAGGAGGGTGCTGTGCCCGTGACTCTGTCTCTCTTGGTTGCTCTGGGTCTTGCCCATTAGCAGAACTGTTTCTAGCTTCAAAAAAACCCGGTAAACATTGATCATCTTTATAACAGTATGACCTCTGAACATTTTCCTATTTTTTCATTTCAGAGCCCTAGCTTGAGAGGGCTGCTTCTTCTCCCCCAGGTTTGTGGATGCTCCTTCTTCGTGTCACCACGTTCTTTATTACCATCTGCTTTGATCTATGTTCCCCCTCCCCCCCTGGCCTCACAGAGAGGCTGTGAGCTCATTAGTTTGAGCTCCCACTTCTGCAACAACAGCTAAGACAGAAGGAAAGAAGAACATGCCTTCCGACCCTTCTGCCAGGCGGCGAAGCCCAAGAATGATGACCCCAGCACTTCAACACCGGCTTTCCTTCCCCTCCACTTCTCTCCTTATTAAATTCTGTCTACGGTCACACATTAGGTGATTCTCGTCTGTTATCAGAAAAAAGACATCAATTAGTGCAGCCACTGATTACACACATTTGGCAAACATACAACTGGCCAAAGGACAAAAGGAACTGGAGCGTGTTGTACTTGGAATGGCCAAAGGTGGAGTCCTCACCACATTCAAGAGGAACATGGCTTCATTCTACATGTCTCCCTCAACCAAGTTAAACCAAGTTAAAGTGTCTACTAAGACTACTTTTTAATTAACCCCCAAATGGAACAATTCTGAAGAAATCAAAACTTCAAACAAAAAGTCTCATCTGTGGTGGACAGATTTTAAGATGGCCCCTAGTGAGGTCCATCTCCTTGTGATCCACTCCTTTCAAGTGTGGGTGGGACCTGTGACTTGGATCTAACTGATGAAATATGGTGACTGGGTATCACTTTTGTGAATTGGGAATAAAGTTTTAATGTCCCTCTTGCTAGGAGATCCTCTCTAGGATTCTGTTCCCACTGGCTTTGATGAAGCAAGCTGCCATGTTGCAGGCAGCTAGGCAGAGAACTCCATGTGGCAAAGACCTGGGGTTGGCTTCAGTTTCGTCTGAAAGCCAGCAAGGAACTGAGGCCTTCAGTCCAATTGCCTACGGGGAACTCAAGCCTGACAGCAGCTATGTGAGCTTGGCAGTGAATCCATCCCTGTCAAGTTTTCAGATGAGATCTGACTGGCACCTTGATGGAAGCTTCATGAGAGACCATGAAGGAGAGGCCTCAGCTAACCTGTGCCTTCATTCCTGACCCACAGAATCTGGGAGATGGTGAATGGGTTATTTTAAGATGCTACATTTCCAGTCATTTGTTACACAGCAATAGATAATCAATACACCATCCAAGACAAGACTGATAAGCACATTTAAAGTTTTACAATAGAGTATTACTCAGCAATAAAAAAGAATGAATTCTTCTCGTTTGCAACAACATGGATGGACCTAGAGAGTATTATGCTAAGTGAAATAAGTCAGAGAAAGACAAATACTCTTTGCTTTTATTTATGTGTAAAATCTAAAAACAAAACAAAACAAAATAAAATAGAAACAGACCCATAGATACAGAGAACAAGCTGATGATTGCCAAAGGGGAGGGTGTTGAAGGGAATGAGTGAAATAAAAAATTTTTTTTCAATAATAAAAACAAATATATTTTCCTCTATTAAAATAGAGACAATTTTTCACATTGGGAGTTTGCTAGTTTAAAAAAAATGATAATTAATTAGAACATTATTTTCTCTCTCAGGTCTTTCCTCTAAACTTTATACCTTAGTTCCATTGAGTTAAAATGTCATCAGATGCCTGAAACTTTTCTTCCCTCTTACTTAACAGATCATAAATACTCAAAATTTCAAAACTTATGTTTTGAGTCCAAGCTCATGCAACCACAAACTGAAGAACTTAAAAAGGCCTTAAAAAAAACAAACTGGTATTTCCAAGTGAACTCCCTTACTTTTCCCAGCCCGAGTTCTATGAAGAACTTTTAGCTACCTATTCATATCCTCAGTTACATAAGTCAGTTTTTGAGACTCCTGCAAGTAATTCTTTTCTACATTAAAATCTTCAGCTGTTACAGTCTTGAAAAACTGCAACTCATTTTTACTTACATCTGGAAGTCTGTACAGCTTCATTGTTCTCTGTAGAGTCATATTTCTACTCAAGTGGGAAAATTTCACTTCTACCAATTTTCTGGGGTTTAGTGATCGATGCCAGTATCTGGAATGCAATAAAGGTTTGAAAATCAAAATGATTACTAACTCTTCAGGTTTTCACTCTGTCTCAACTAAGCTGTTACAGAACATTTAATGAACACCGATGTTGTGTCTGGCATATCGTTGGAAGCTGGCTGGCCCTCTTCCAATGCAACTATTTTATTATGGCTTTTTTTTACCTTTAAAATATATCCTGCATTCCTAGTTATGTTCCTTTGTAGTTTGTGATCTTTCATCTTTCAGTAAAGTGGTATCTTAAAATTGTAAAAGTCATATTAATAATGACCAATTTGCAAGTATTTAATAACGATCGATTTTACAGACAGCAAATGAAAAAGTTTCAAAATGTGAAGACCGCCCTGGCCAGCATGGCTCAATTGGTTAGAGCATCATCCCATAACCTGAAGGGTCTCAGACTTAATTCCTAGTCAGGGCACATACCTAGGTTGCAGGATCAGTCCTAGACAGGGCGTGTGTGAGAGGCAACAGATCAATGTTTCTGTTCCTCTCCTTCCCTCCCTTCATCCCTCTCCAAAATTAGTAAGCATGTCCTCGGGTGAGGGAAAAAAAACAAACATAAGAATATTCCTCCTAAATTAGTAGCCTTCATGTTTATATAACACACTCCAAAGAAAACAACTATTTGACAAGCTAGCTTGAATTTCTTAAGGGATTCCAATTTATGTACTGGGATGAATGATTTCTATTAATATGTACCTGTGAAGTCTTATTTATTCTGTTTGTTTATTAATAATTTAATAGGACATAGTAATTTTACCATTTTATTTTTTATACTATGTTTACCTGAAGTTTCATTTTGAGTCAATAAAAATAGTAGAGGGAAACTCTGATTCTTCAGAAATAGATTAGTCAAGCGACAATGTGATAAACAATTTTCTCACCAGATTAACCTTTGAAAGCTTGATAAGAGCAGATAGAGTCATAACAACAGACCTTAAGCCTCTTTTTATTCTTAGTGAACAAGTACGTAAGGGCTTTTTAACCGATATTTATCAAGCTTTTGGAATGGCACTGCAGAGCATGGTTTAAGACTGAGTGTCACAGGAGGAAAGAAAATGGTACCGCTCCAGATATTTCCACATCACGAAGCCTGGGTTTCCCCAAAGCAGAGACAACACTAGTCTTTTAAATGAAAGAGAAACCAAAATGCAGCTCCAGGTCACAAGTAACTGTTTGGTAACTGAAAAGACTGGGCTCAGTGGTTCTTCCTTCCAGTCTCCATCTCTGCTACCAACCAACTAAATGGTCACAGGTAAGCCAAAATCCCTCTGAGCTACATGTGAGAATAATATTGAATTTGTAGCAACAGAGCAGGAAGACTCAGTGCTTAGTACAGGTAAGATGCAAGGTAAGGGTGTTGTTATTACCTGCACGTGGCCACTGGCTTAGGAAGAACCACGCCAGCAGTATAAACGGCCTGGAAAATCCCTTCCAGGTTCACTCTTCTAGTTATTTCTCGAATTAACACTGGGGCTACTCGTTTTGATCTCAATTTCTTATGAACACAAAGAAAGTTGATTTCGACCATCTTCTTCACACTAAGAAATAAAGATGTCAAAAATCAGAGCAAACATAAAATTAAAACATTTTAAAATATATGACAACATACATAAAATTTCAAAGAATAAGACACTGAAAGACCTCCTTAAACACAATATTTAAGAAAAATATAAAGAAAAATATTCTATCATCTAGACATGTCCCAAGTTCAGATCAATACACTATTTCCCATACACCCCTGCCAAAATAATTACAACTCTAGACCATGGAGATACAATATCCTTTTTTCCCTCCCAGAAATAAATCTGAAATAGCTATTTATAGCTTTGTTTATTCTGCTATATGCATATATACATGTGTATGTAACGTGATTATGTACATAAAACATCCGTGTATGTGCATGTATGAGACTAAGAGACACCGGAAAAAAAAAGAGTTGTCTTTTTTTGTTGTTCACAGGCCAATGTTTTAAAAAACTAATAAACTTTATTTTTTTGGAGCAGTTTTAAGTTTATGGCAAAACTAAGCAGAGGCAGAGAGTTCCCATATACCCCTGGCTCCCACTCGCAACCTCTCTCTCTAGCGACAGCCTATAACAAGTACTGTAGAAAACCTATTGTTATGGCAATTGTTGAAAAAGCAACACATCAAAATTGACACGGGCAAGCTTTAATATGTACCTGTCGTAAATCCGAATGTTTGCTGGGATGGCACTTATGAACCCTACCAGTTTTTTGTTTGAAGACACTCTGACTCCACAGTGCCACTGAAGAAGCCAGCCCGGGGGACGCAGAGCCCTGAAGTCATTGTAGGCGAGGAAAACAGGTGCCAGTTAGTGCCCTAGAACACAGCAACAGACAGAGACGTGCCCACCTCCCGCCCCACCACGGCTCTCATGACCCGCGAGACTCACCACAGCAGGAACTCAGGCGAATAGTCAAACCGAAACATGTTGTCATCATCCTCTACGTAATTCTCATTTAACAAGGTGTACAATTCTTTGAGCTACAAGATCAAAAGGGTGTCTTGTCTATGGTGCTCAGAACCAACTCAGAAGCAATCTGCACGAATGCAGGTGTCGAATTTAAGAGTTTTACTCACCACTTCTGCATTACCCAAATCTAAAGTGTCCCACATAAAACCCTGTGGCAAGGAGTATGGTTCTTGACGCACGTTGTCTTTATCTGCTTCAATTGCACCATGAGATGTTATCACTTCATCTGGAGAGAAAGAGAAAAGAAGACAAAAAAAGAATATTCAATTACAAAGCATTCTGACAATCCAAAATGGTCCATTATGAATAATAAAATCATATTTAGAACCCTTGGGTTTAATATAACCTTTAAAAATACACTATTATTTCAGCTACCTCTTGAGTGAAAAGGGTGGCGAGGCAGAGGGGGAGAGTAACTGCTACTTCACCACTCAAAGGAAAAATCTTCTGTCATGCAGTGACAAAGTGTATCACGAATTGGTCATGATTTCTCAGTCTCAACCCTGAAATTAACAGCACCATGGGAGACAACCTAAGTTTGATGATGGACTTAGAGATGTTCCCTTTTTATTCTGCACTTCAACAAACAGGGGATGGGGTGGTGGGGAGGGGAGGGGTGGGAGAGAAAGGGAAGGAGGACCGCAGGAACCTCTGACCCCTTCTAGCAAAATCTAAAGTTCATTTTATTTTTGCTCCATCCCTCCACCCCCTAACCCCTCACCATCACTAGCTGTCATCTGTTCTCCATCTATGAATCTGTCCCCATTCTCCTTGTTAGTTCAGCGTGAGCCAAAAGGAAAAAGGACTCATAGACATGGACTACAGTGTGCTGACTGCTGGGGGAGGGGAGCACAAGGGGACTGCATGGTAATGGAAAAAACAGGATAAAGATTAAACCAAAAAATAAACAGACACCATCTCAACGGAAGATAATGCTCATCCATTAAAATTAAACTACTTACTATTTCCTAGGTGCATCTTCCCAGAAGCTGCTAATATTTGTTATTACAATATTGTGACAAACTAGTAGAGTCATGAAGGAAAAGTTTAAAATATAAAACTGGAGGGTATATATAAATATGAGTGTGTGTTTACACAATGAACCATGGATTCATGTCCAAACATACTGAATTATGAATGAAGTCTAAAATGTGTTGAAATATTCTAGAAACATAATAAACAAAGAGCCAAGAGTATAGCTGAATATTTTTACATTATAATATGAAATCTTAAAAGTTCTATAACCCTATTTTTAAAAGATACTTACAATATTCTATTTAACATTGAATTTTCTTTCTAAATTAAACAGTAGGCTCAAATGTATGATACTCTCAGAAATTAAGAACTATTGAAGCAGAATAAATGTCAAATCATTGGCCATATAACAAGTACCACTCATAAACTGTTTCGATTCATTCACACGTTAACACACTTTTAGCAACAGTACATGCAGAAATTACAAGTTGAACTAGAGGAATCATAACTTATATTTGGCCACAAAAACACAATATAAAAGTTGTGATGAAGCACTAAAAACTACAACTATAGTTCACCAGAAACAGAAAAAAATCCCACAAAAAAATAAAATAAAATAAATTTCAGGGCTGCTATGTCTCTCCACCTGGATGACTGGTGGTGCAGTTCAAGTCATCAACGTCTCTAGCAATTTCCACAAAGGTGCCCTTTTCCAATTTCTTCTCTGCAGCTTCCCAGTGTAGCTGGGATAAAACCCAGGCACACCCACCCTGCCCAGCCCCCCGGGATTAGCCACACCGACCACCCTCAGGCTGGCCCCAGCTCAGAGCCCTCACGGGGTCCTCCCCATGCTCTTCGCCAGCTGGCCACTTGAGTGTTTTCAGATATAAGCTTATACGCTTACACATGGCTTTCTCAAAGCATCTTCCCCTGACTAAAGCTTTTTCCTACCTAGAGTATATCCTCCCCTCCAACCCCAACCTGGCCGCCACTTAGCCTACTTTCACACCACTGTTTCCCCAGGATGTACATCAGTGCCTGGCATTTAATAACAGACATGCAACAAATCTCTCATAAATATAATTAAGCCATTAAAAAAAAGAAGGCAATCAGGCCATGCGTACAACATGGATGGACCTTGAGGATATTACACTAACTGAAATAAGTCAGACAGAGAAAGACAAATATCATATGATCTCATATGTAGAATCTTTAAAATACAGAAAAAAAAAAAAAACTCACACATGGAGAAAACAGACTGGTGGTTTTCAGAGTCAGGAGGCAGAGGTTAGGGAAGTGGGTGAAGGTAGTCAAAAGGTACAAAGTTTGACGTACAGGATAAATAAGTTCTGTACTGTACAGCATGGTCACTGTAATTAATGAAACCATACTGCATATCTGAAAGTTGCTTAGACAATAAATCTTAAAAGTTCTCATTACAAAAACAATTCTGTAACTATGTGTGGTGACATGTTAACTAGACTTACTATGGTGATCATTTTGTAATATACACATACATTGAATCATTATGTTATATACCTGAAACTAATATAATGTCGTATGTCAACTGTACCTCAATAAAACAAATAAATAATAAAACCAGGAGGATGGGGAACCCTGGTATCTGCTGATTACAAATGACCCTCAGGTACAGGTTCTTACCATCACAGACCTTTTGACAGGTGGAAGTCACAGGGTGTGTACCAGCTCCAAGGGGTTTCCTTTTCTCTTCTTTGTAACCCCGGACTTTTCTCCATTCATCATATCTCCACTCTACCAGCTCATCTCCAAAGGAATGCCTTAGGCCTCCTCAAGTCAGCCCAAGTGGCCAGATTCCCAGCTGCACCCTTAGAGTCCCTTCAGACCTTTGCTTAGGGCTTGCCTATCCACACAACATCAGGGGACCATCTCCTTCAAGCAGCTGCAAATGGCTGGCTGTGTTTAGACTGAACTGGGACAGAGCTCTGGAGAGAAACAGTCTCCCTGGCTTTTACACATTCTCCCCTACCTCAGGCTCCCTCCTCCATACCAGGGGTTCTAGGAACTAGAGAATCCTTGCAAGATTTAGGGGAGAGGACCCGGGCTATCTTCTAAAAGAGGGGTGCTAGGGTTCGGTCCCCTGCAGGTGGCTTTCTTCTCCCCAAGGCAGTGACCTAAAAGCCACCAACAGCTTGCCAAGCAGCATTCAGCCAAACCCATACATTCATATCAATAAAAGACATCCTTTTAGCTAATGGTCACTTAGTTCAATGTCATTTAAAATCCTGTAAATATGTTCGAGAGGGTCTTCTTTGACTACCATATACACTTCTAGAGCCTGAAAGAAAAGGGAGGAAAATTTCTTTCTTTCACACCTGGAAGCTCATGCTTTTTAAGCTGGTTGGGGTGGGCTGGGTGGGAGACATATGGTAACTTCAAAATTTAAAAAAGTTTGAAAACCATTATTTGAAGGCATAGAGAAGAATTGTTCCCTAATTTATATGTGATAAAACAGACTTTTTGTACATAACTGGGCTATTAAGAGTTTTAGATGGCAATTAATCCTTTATATTACACAGATTCTGGAACCTGACCTGGAAAAAAAAAATAGAAATAATTGAGACTTCCAGTCCAGATGGCGGCATAGGTAAATACAGCTCACCTCTTCACACAACCACATCAAAATTACAACTAAATATTAGAACAACCATTACTCAGAACTGGCAGAAATCGAGCTGAATGGAAGTCTGACAATTATGGAATTAAGAAACCAAATTCACCCAGACAGGTAGGAGGGACCGAGATGCAGAACGGGATGGTCCCACGTACACGTGTGGTAGATAAACATTTGGGAGGGATATCTTGGGAGCGAGGAGTCCCAGACCCACACCAGGCTCCCCAGCCCAGGGTTCCAGTGCTAGGAAGGTAAGTCTCCATAACTTTAGGCTGCAAAAACTGGGAGGGATTGAGTCAGTGGAAGAAAGTTCTGGAGCCTTAAGCAGTTCCTCTTAAAAGAACTCACATATGGAGTCACCTACTCAGACTTACTCCCTCTGAGTTCCAGTGCCGGAGTGGCAGCTGGAAAGGCACCAGCACCATATAAGGAGGAACTGAAGTGGCTGGCATCAAGGAGAGAGCTGGGGGACGGCTTTCTTCCACACGGAAAGGTGGGCAGAGCCACAGAGCCGGCAGGTGGGTACCATATCTGAGACTCCATCAACCTGACTAACACTGTTTGCCGCACCCTGGAGACCCCGAGACTTCGTCCCACTTAGCTTACAGCTGTTAACAGTATCTTTTCCATGTGAATGGCTGGTCTTGGCTCACGATTCACAACTTCCAAAGTCCTCTCAAACAAGTAACAGCTGGCCTCAGTGAGCCCAGAGCCCCCAGCCCCTGTACCGCTTGCTAAGTGGCCCCGGGCTCAACACTAGCAGCAGCCAGCCTAGATTCACAGTTGGCTTTGCCTGGGAATCTCCAAGCCCAGCACAAATAGCAGCCACCTCAGACTGCTCTAGAGTTCATACAGAGTGTCCCTGGGCAAAACCATAGGTGGGGGCTGACCTTGGCCTACACTACCCAGGAAACCCCAGGACCTGTGCAACCAGTAGACAACTACAGATCACGTTGGAGCACTGCCACCCTGTCCCTGCACAGCTGATCCTCCACAGAGGGTGGAGGTTGGTGGTCAGTGGTCACAGCCAATCTTTGCAAATGAGTGTTCTGGGTAAATCCCTCCCATTGATCTGCCAACTGCAACCAAGGCTCAACTACAAGAGGAGGTTGTACTCAGCTCTCATGGAGGGTACACTCGAGTACCCAGCTTGTGTGATAGGAAAGGCTGTGCCACTGGACTCTACAGGACACCTACTGCATTAGGCCACGATACCAAGACAGGGAGTCATAGTAGCTCCAGAAACTTAGAAACAAACACAGGGAGGCTGCCAAAATTAGGAGACAAAGAAACATGGCCCAAATGAAAGAACAGATCAAAACTCCGGAAAAAGTACTAAACAAAATGGAGATAAGCAATCGAACAGATGCAGAGTTCAGAACACTGGTTATAAGGATGTTCAAGAAACAGTGAGGACCTCAGCAGTATAAAAAAGACCCAGCCAGTAACGAAGGATACACTAACTGAAATAAAGAACAATTTTCAGGGACAACAGTACAGTGGATAAAGCCAACAATCAGATCAATGATTTGGAACATAAGGAAGCAAAAAAGAACCAATCAGACCAACAAAAAGAAAAAAAGATTTAAAAAAAACGAGGTTAGTATAAGCAGCCTCTGGGACAACTTCAAGTAGTCCTAAATTTGCATCATAGGGCTACCAAAAGGAGAAGAGAACAAGGAAGAAATTGGAAATCTATTTGAACAAATAATGAAAGAAAACTTCCCTAATTTAGTGGAGGAAACAAACGTGCAAGTCCAAGAAGCACAGAGACCCAAACAAGATAGATGCAAAGAGGCCCAGTCCAAGACACATCATAATTAAAACACCAGAGGTTAAAGATAAAGAGAGAATCTTAAAATCAGCAAGAGAAAAGCAGTTAGTTACCTACAAAGGAGTTCCCATAAGACTGTCAGCTGGTTTCTCAACAGAAACTTTGCAGGCTAGAAGGGATTGGCAAGAAACATTCAAACTCATGAACAGCAAGGACCTACAGCCAACATTGCTGTATCCTGCAAAGCTACCATTTAGAATCAAAGGGCAGATAAAGAGCTTCCCAGACAAGAAAAAAACTATAGGAGTTCATCATCACTAAACGGTTATTATATGAAATGTTAAAGGGTCTTATTTAAGAAAAAGGAGATCAAAACTATGAACAATAAAACGGCAATAAATACATACCTGTCAAAAAATTGAATCTAAAAAACAAACTAAGCAAACAAGAAGAACAGAGACAGAATCATGGAAACGGAGAGCGTTTTGATGGTTTGACAGAGAGTGCCAGGTGGGAGGGTGGTGTTGGCAACTTCGTAAAGAGGTTAAGGGGATGAAGATGTACAAATAGGTAGTTACAGAATAGTCATGGGGATGTAAAGTATAGACTAGGAAATGGAGTAGCCAAAGAACTTATACGCATGACCCATGGACATGAACAATGGTGGGGCACTGTCTGAGGGAGTGGGGGGTGCTGGGCGGAGGGGGGCAAGGGGGAAAAAATTGGGACAACTGTAATAGCATAATCAATAAAATATAATTTTTTTAAAAAATAGAAATAATTATATAATGATCTATCATCATTTAAACATAAAACAAAGCAACCAATTTAGCTTTTAATACCTTTATAAACATTTATGTGGCACTCATCTTTTTTTTTTTTGTATAATGTGAAAGAAGAATTAAAGGGCATTTATGGAAACTGAAACAGTAAAAGTCTAAGAAAATGTCCTGAAGCAGGCAAAGCACTGAGGAAAGAGGCCTATCATAAAGGCTCTTACCTAACCCAAAGCCCTGAGGAAGTCCTTCATGGTGTCCCAATTCCCTTGGTATTATACTGGAATATTTTCACATTGCTTGCAATCAACACCACCGGTGAGTGCTCAGAATCTTATTGTTAAACTGTGCAAAATTTTCCATTTCAGTAAGATTTCATAGGTCAAGTTTTCTGTCTTTGGGAATAACTGAGATGTGAGACTGCTAAAAATTCATGTATAGGAAAAACAGCTCCGTGAAGCTCAGAACCAAAAAAACAGGGCATGGGGGAGGCTCCTTCTTTTATACGTTCTTTAAATACACCAGTGTTTCAAGTGTGAGAAAACTGGATTTTTTTTTTATAGGGGTAAAAATTAGACTAAAATTGCTGTTACTGAAAGCCAATATCACTACCCAATACATATCTAAATTTTAAGAAGGAAAGTATTATGTTTGTGTAAATTTCTAATCTGTGGCATGAAACAAGTTATAAAAGTGAAGTAAAGTCTCTTTTGTGTTTTTTGTTTGTTGTTAACTCAGCTTTGTTTGGGGAGGTGGGAGGAGGCAGAAAAGCTTACTTAGTTTGGGTACCGGCTGTGTGTCCCAAAACTGGTATCTGTGTTTGGCAGCCTCATCGATGTTCCTGGCGGGGCCCTGGCACGCCGATAACAGCTCCATTGCTCTCTGGATATCCTGCAACTTCTGCATTGGAATGGCAGGATTCTATAACAGCAAAGACACACAGACACAAACTATGAGGAAGCTGCCACTACTCCAAAACCTAGGGCAGAGACACGTACGTCTGCCTTGGAGACTACAGCACCAAAAAATGAACAGTCCTCCTCTAAGCCTGGTCAGGGCCTTGGGCTCATGTATACTAACATATTAAAATATAAGCAAACATATGATGTTAAAGATAACCATACTCTATAGTTTTACTGGGCTGTGATAGTTTGGGAAATTTAAGGTAAATCAAACTACCCTTTGCTTTAGTTTCCCACCCATCTCCAAATGGTCTTCACCATGACTCATCTGAGTGGAGCAGCAAAAGGGAGGGACATGCAAAGCATGCATACTGTCGCACCAGCCAGTCAGCCACCAGCCTCGGTTTCACTGTTAGGGTGATGCTCTGCAGTAGCAATGTGGGGACAAACGAAATAACTTCCAGGATGGAAACTAGGCAGACAAGGGAAATTTTAGTTCATTACGAAGAAAGAGAAATCTGAATTTAGTACTGAGCTGGGAAGGTAGTGGATCAGGAAGGAAAGCTCTAAGGATGCCTTCCTCCTGGGCCACCCCCTCTGTCTCCTAACCCAATGCCCCTTGAGAAACAAACCTTCCAACAAGGGCCAGCAGTTCCCTCTGAATTCAAATCCTTAGCAACCCTGGCCTGTTCTCCCTAACCCAAGTGTTCAAAACTAACCTCCTTTTTTAAGTAAAATATATTCTCTATAAAATTGACAATAGCTTTACGTTAAAAGTTCCTTCCTCAAAGCCAATATTCCTGTCAACAATGATGATTCCCCAGCTCTTTTTGTTTTTGTTTTTGTTTTTCCATCCCTTAAATAATGTCTTACAGCATGGAAAATGAAACTACCCTGGAAATGAGAGAACAGTATACAGGACTGAAACTGGAAATTGGTGAGTTTTTTCAATATGCAAAATTATTGGTTAGTTTTAGAATGTCCATGCCATCCAAAGAATGCCCATCACTGTACTTCAGAAGTAGTTAGAGGGAATTCCAGAGCCCTTGGGTTTCCTGTGTGCCAACACACCATGGGCACCAAGGAAGGGGAGGGACCCTTGACCCTCAACAGTTTATAAGCAGCACCTCTGAACTTCTGCTCAACTTGGACCATGATGTGTGTGATCTGGAGCAAATCTTTTACCCTGGAAGCTTACTTGTTTGACCAGGTACAAAACGGGATTTATTTAATACATACTGCCCTGTGGATGCTTTACTCACTGGGTTCCTGTAAGATTCTTGTTACTGAAATGATTCAAGGAATCAAAGTGCTGGAGTATAAACAGAGGTAGTTTAAAGTCTAACGTCTGCCCTAATAAGCCTAATAGCATCACTCAGGACTGCCACAATTTTTGTAAGCTGTTTACCTTTTGATGGAAGTCCAAATCATAAGGGTCATATCTCCAGTAAACATACTAATTTAACAAAATACTTTTGCTGTTCTAGAAAGGCTAGCGCATTTTTAGATTTCTCATTTGTGTCTCCTTTGAACCTTCAACATAAAAGTAACTAGTTTCTAGCAAAGTGAAATTTACATCCAACTGGACCTCCCCTCCCCTCCCCCCCAGCACAATCTGTTAGGAGACCTATACCTCAACTAAGGAACTAAAGGCACAGCATATTCTAGCTAATAATGCTTGAACATGCATCCACTGATTTTTAAGAAGGCAAAGTAAAACCCACTCTCACAGAAAGACGCCTACAGTGTCTGCACTTACTGTGTCGCGGTAATTCTTTTCTGGTAAGAGTTAAATCAGCTAACACTCAAAACTATTTTGTAACAAACATCAATCAGCAGCTTTGTGCCAAAGGAGCCATTACTATCCCAATTCCATGAAGGGGCACTCAGAGTGCTTTCTAGTCGACCTCATTAGCCTCAACAGATTGAGCAGTAGTGTTTACATGAAATCGCCATTTATAAACTTATATCCTGTAGGTATTAATTTATATCCCAATAGCATATGATTAATTTAAATACTTTCTAAAAGTAGATTCAAGTAAACACAATTTTCAAATCCATGGTGACAAAGCAGAAGGAAAACTCAACTATGATAAATTCTTAAACATATCCATCCACCTTCAGTAATAGCACCACCACCTGGGGAGGAATGAATTCCTGTTGGGAAAGGTGAGAATGTATACCAGCTGCGCATGAGCTTCTCACTATATGTTCCTATTAAAGAGGCAGGTCTCTTTTCCACCACATCTGCTCCTTGTATATCAACTGTTCTCTTTACCCATTATTTTCCAAATTTAATACTTGGGAAATCTATAAGAATCCAGACAAATATTTCACTTTTGTTCTCAATTGTACACCAGAATATTCTCCAAACAGGATGCACTATAGCCCTGGCTGGGTGGTTCAGTTGGTTGGAGCATTGTCCTACACACCAAAAGGTTGTGGGTTTTGTTCCCAGCTGGAGCACGTACCTAGGTTGCAGGTTCAATCCCCTACTGGGGTGCATTGGGAGGCAACCTATTGATGTTTCTCTCTCATACTGATGTTTTTCTTTCTCTCTCTCTAACCCTTAAATTAATAAACATATCCTTGGGTGAGGATTTAAAAAAAAAAAGCAATAAACAGGGTCTGCTATAATAAATGGTGTTATCTAGAGCTGGCATTGGCTTAAAAAAAAGGAGCTTAAGTTTTTAAAAAATGCAATAGAGAATGGCCCATATTAAAACAATTTTAACTTATTCTTAATAAAAAACAATTCTTCTACCACATCATGCTAATAGTTCCTCCAGCCTTGACTGGCTCTAGTTTTTTATAAGTGACCAGAAACAGGGGAAGGACTAAAAATCACTAGGGGTACAGAGATGGCAGAAGCTGATGGTGATGACAGAAGCAATAAGGAAATGGTCACAACTGAATATAAGTGACACCTCATTTATTTGATGAAGCAACGTTTAGAAATGGAAAAAGAAAATCTTGCAAGCTTATGGTGTACCTTACATGAGTTACCTTGGAAATTGTGTCCAGTGGATAGAATATTTATTACCTGAGAACCAAGGTGAAAAGCTAGGGAGGAAGACTCCATTTTCTTCTCACCCCACAAAGGCAGTCAGGGGAAAATTGGGGCAAGTAATTTTCCTTCTCAGTGATTCCTGGTCCTTATGTGTAAAACAGGCGACAATAACAAAACTACCTGCAAAATTCACTTCATGCGATAGATACAATGCAAACTTTGTACAAGAAAAAAAAAATTTTAATCCCACAAAACTTGCATAATGGTTACAACTGCCATGTAGACAGAGTGCTTTACAATATAAAAGCCATTTGATAAAAATGATCTAATTGTAAACTGAGAACAACCCCATGAGTTGGGGAGAAGGCATCGTCCCCATTTTGCAGATGAGGAGATGGGCGTAGAAAGAGAAAGGCCAAACTCAAGAGCCATGGGCCAGGACAAAGCCCAGGTTCCCCATCCCACCTCCTGAGCCCTTCATGTGACACATACGACAAGCATCAACATAACTCTATTTCATTAAACTTCTAATTCAACCCGTTTTTGCTGCAAGTTTTTTTTGCATCGAGTAGGCTCTGTGTTTCCATGGGCCCAGCGTACAAGGACTGCGTACACAGCTAGGGTGACTGGGGTTGGCCCTACAAAAAAGCGGTGCCTGCCATCTGCACCACCAATCTGCCAACACAGTGCCCGGCCAGATAACTTCTGGTTTGGTTTAAATGGGTGTTTCTTCAGGGAAAATACTAGGAGCTAACTCCCACCCTTGGCAATGGAATTAAGAATGGCCACTGAAGACTGGTCTGATTCAAAGTCAACATAAGACTTACCCGTGGCTGCTCCCGCTGAAATCTGCTGCCAGATGGTGTTGTGCTATTCAGATAATTAGACAGACACCCAGAAAAATTAAAATGTGAATATCTTCTGAACTAAAAGTCATCAAATATTAAGTGTTACTTCAAAAAAAGAAACCTAATAACTCACACTGAGACTTTCTTCTATGATTACAATCTGCACACTAATTTGCTGAGAAATATGCAGGCGGTATCCCAGTACACATAAAAGCACAGTATGTACCTCTTTGTTATTGGGTGCTGACGTCGACTTAAGGCTGTAAGTACCCTGCGGTTACTATCAGTACAGTCACAGCAAAACCCTAACTACACCTCTAATCCAACAAGGCACTAAACTGCACAAATCTGCTCTCACATGCATGAGCAACCACACAGATTAAAATAAAACACGGCTCTCACTTTTGAAGGTTGCTGAATCTTGATCTCCTGGGAATCAGATGCAGAGTCTGACTTGGTGCCTCCGGAATTTGGTTTCTCCTTCTTTCTCTTCTGTTTCTTCTTTTTCTTTTTGGCACCCAAGTCCCCTCTGGGACTTCTGTTAGGGAATTCACAAAGGGTAAAACAATAACAAATCATTACATAAAATTAATTATTTAGAACAACATATGTATAGAAAAAAACTATGTTAGGATGTATAGTTTATAGTATAGGATATTATGACTTACAATAAACATATATATTTGATTATACAAATGACCAAATAAATATTTCTAATATATTTGGTTTTTGCTCATGGTTTCTGGCTGACAGCTCCCGAATCCCTTGGAATTTCCTAAGTGATGAGAACTTAAAAATGTCCCTTACGTTAATGAGGTGACTTTTGGAAAACATCTAAGGGCTGGTTACCAGCAGAGCCAACCGTGTGATTAGACAATTGGAACTTTCAGTGTCAACCCCCAACCTCTGGGATGGGAGAGAGGCAGGAGAATGGCCAGTGATTTCGTCGGTCATGTCTGCGTCATGAAACCTTCATAAAACCCATAAGGACAGGGCCAGAAGGACTCTCAGGATGGTGGAGGTGCTGGAGGGGTGGTGTGCCTAGAGAGAAAGCGGAAGCTCTGCCCCCTTCCCCATGCCTTATCCTATGCATCTCTTCCATCTGGGTGTTCCTGAGTTGTTGTATTTTGCCATGTATAATGCACACTTTTTTGCCCAAATTTTTAAGGGGAAAAAATAAGGATGCGCTCTATACATGGGTAGTACTAATTCCATAGCTATATAAATGTTTGGCAAACAACAGTTATACAAAGTTTGGGCCAAAAACGTGGGTGTGCATTATACACAGCAAAACAGGGTATATCCTTTGATAATACACAAATGATCTAGTAAGTAAAATGTTCCCTGAGTTGTGTGCGCTGCTCTAGCAAATTAATCTAACTCAAGGAGGGGGTGGTCTTGGGAACGTTTGATTTATGCCAGCAGGTCTGGCAGAAGTACATGTAAAAACCTGGACTTGTGACTTGTCTGAGCCCTTAATGTGTGGGATCTGAGGCTGTCTCTGGGTACATAGCATCAGAATTGAGTTGAATTCTCAGATACTCTGTTGCTCTCTGAGAATTGCTTGGTGTTGTATGGGAGCCCCCCCCACCGCCACTGCTACATGCTCACATACCTGTGTGTGTACACACACACACACACACACACACACACACACACACAGGAATTGGGTCCAGGAACCCAAAATAGCATGCAAGTAGGAAATGAAATTTAGTCGGATTAGGAAACTAACAAGACAAGTAACTCAGAAGAGTATTAGTCTACACTCAGCCATCCTGCAGGATGCTTAGATGTCATTTCAGCAGGAAAATTATAGATATAAACCACATTTATAACAGAAGTCAAATAGCTTTCACAGTTATCACTGCTCCACTGATCTACTTCCTTGTCAGCTTTTTAAAGGGGGAGATACGTTTTGCAAAAAATTCCATTATAAACATCTCTTGGGTAAAACAAATCACTAATCTTGACACAACAGAACCAAAGAAACTGCTTCTCTGCAGAGAGGGGAATTTTTGCTTATAAAAATTTTTACTGAAAGGATTAACAATAAAAAAACTCTACATGAAAAAGAAAGCATTCACTGGTAAAACACTTCTGTTTGGAACCCTTACCATCTTATCGCTGTCACCTTCTGGAGAGCAAAAGACACACGAGAGAGTTAAAGTTTCCTCTTATTGGGGCCTATCCTTACCGATTCTCAGAAGGTAAATTAAAATTTATAGTCAGAGATTATTACTGAACTTTTGCCTGATGTAGGGGAAAGTGATGGAAATATTCAATTCTTTTCCATGGTTCTCAGTCTACTGGTGCCCACCCATTATCCTTCTTGAATCTTTACCTAATTATAAAAATGCATATTCATCATAGAAGACATAAATGTCATTAATATATTAACATCCTTCATATACCATTGTCCTTTAAAGACAAATCAATAGTTGTTCTGGTATATATTATTCTTCTAAAATTGTCTTTATTCCCCAAGGATGCTTTTGTTTTTACTATAAGTAAGTTTTGAACAAAAGTTGAATCTTAAACATACCATTTTGAAACTTCTTTTTTTCTCCTTCCACTTCACAATACGACTTCTTTTCATATCAGAGTATATTGAGCTGCCTCATTTCTTTTTAGCAACTGGATAGTATTCTATCGTGTAAATATACAATATTTCATTCCTATATTAAAAACGTTGCTGCCAAAAAAATATTCTGGTACTTACATCTTTGTTCGTTCATGCTAGTATGTCCGAAGATGGACATGCTAGGTTAAGGAGCATGCACAGTTTGGGTTTTCATAGGTAACTGAGGCTGCTTTAATAAATATTGTACCAATTTCCACAACACCAATAGCAAACTGGACAGTTACTGGCTCTGCAAATAAGGAGCTCGGAAGTCACCATTCCATCCTAACAGACTGAAAAATCAACAATTCTTAAATGCATAAAAGAGGTAACACAGGACAAACTGCTGTCCCCAAGAATGGAGAAACAGAAAGGTGAACTCAGTCACAGTTCCCAGGAGCCACCAGCACATGAGACACTACCCAGGCGCAAAAACCTCCACCGTGACTGTGGAGGCTGCATGTGGACAAGCCTGAGGGTTAAGAAGTCCAGGGGGCCCACCCAAGGGGTCTCCCACACTTTTATGGGTTTTACCTCCACGAGCCCAAGCAGGTTCCCACAGTAAAGACGGGAGAAAAGTCCCCTTGGGCTTCCACCAGGAGACAGGGAAAAGGAATCATTTTGAAACAGCTGGAACACTCTGTTCTTCCTAACAAAGTCTGACCCTAGGAGAGACCAGTCAGCCCCTGCCTAACCGGCTGGGGGAGCATCAGAGCCTGACTGCCCGGGGAAGGGAAATACCCGCCTCCAGCCCACTCTAGCCCTTCTGTGCCACCTGAGGGGCTTGGAGAAAACTGAGAAAGGCTTGTGAGTTCACAGTCCAGAGGCACAGGCTCACTAAAGAGTGGGGACTGATTATAGGACTACAGAACACGTCCCCTCCCCCCACACCTCACCACCACTAAAAACCTATTTACAGCAGTTCCTTTTACCCAGTATATCATGTCTGACTAACAAGAAAAAATTACAAGACATACTCAAAGACCAAAAACACATTTGGAAAAGACAGAGCAAGCATAAAAACCAGACATGGCAAGGATGTTGAAATTATCAGGCCAGGAATTTCAAACATCTATGATTAATATGCTAAGGGTTCAAATGGACCAAGTAGACAGCATAAAAGAATAGATGGGCAAGACTAACACCAAGACGGAAATTCTGACAAAGAACTAAAGAGAAATGCTAGCGATCAAACAATCTGTAACCAAAATGAAGAATGCCTTTGATGGGCTTGTTAGCAGACCCCACAAAGCTGAGGGAAGAATTTCTGACTTAGAGGATACAGCAATGGAGAGCTTCCCAGAAACCTCCCACGCTGAAAAGCAAAGAGAACAAGGACTGAAAGAAACAGAATATCCAAGGACCGTGGGACACCTACAAAAGGTGTAACATACACATTATGTGAATTACTGATAGAGAAGAGAGAAACAACAGAAAAAATATTTGAAGCAGTAAGAACTGAGAATTTCCAAAAATTAATGTTAAATGTGAAACAATGGATCTACAAATCTCAGAGAACACCAAACAGGGTAAATGCCAGAAAGAAAAAAAATCCAAAACAAACAAAAAACCCCCTACACTTAGGTATATAATTTGAGACTACAAAAAAATCAAAGATTAAAAAAAATCCTGAAATAAGCCAGAGGGGGAACCAGAGGTGGTTAAAAAACACCTTGCCTATATAAAGGAACAAAGAACAGTAAATAAGAGCATCAATTTCCCTACTTCTTTGCCAGCACTGAAATATTATCATTCTTTTTAACAGCCCCACCCCCCCCAAAGTCTTTAGGTAGGGAAAAAAACTTGTAGATTTAATTTTATTTAATTAGGAGTGAAGCCACACATGTTTATTGACCATTTATATTCTTCCATGAATTGCTTATTCTTATCCTTTTTCTCGGAGCCATCTTTTAAAAAATTGATTTGTAGGTGCTCTTTATTAAAAGCATGAATAGAACCTATCACATACTAGGTATTTTTACTTTGGGCACTTTAAACTCATTTAATCCTTGCAACAGCCTATGAGATACTATTTTTTGCTTATATTTTCATTGTCTAGTTTGTTATGTATTATTTAGATTACAAATACTTTCTCAGTTTATTTTTTAGCCTTCAGCTTTACTTATGGTATGTTTTCCTGTACAGACATTAAAAATTTTTATAAAGTCTAACATTTAAATAGTTCCCCTTGTGTCTTCTTGGCATTTAAATCTTGCGTATAAAGGCCTTTCCTGTTCCAAAATTACATACACCCTTCTATACATTCCCTTCTCTATGACTTTTGGGGGGAAAAATTTAGCTTCCTAATTCACTTAGAATAAAAGGTGTATAATGTGAAGTATTGTGCCCTTATTTTTTTTCTTTTATTGATTCCACAGAGAGGAGAAGGGAGGGAGAAAGAGAGGTCAGGAACCATCGACGCGTGGCAGAAACACTGACTGCTTGCCCCCTGCACGCACCAGGACCGGGGACTGAACCCACAAGTCAGGCGCGTATCCTAAACAGGAATCAAACCTGGGACCTTTTGGTCTGTTGGGCACCGCCCAACCAACTGAGCCACACTGGCCAGGGCTCGTGTCTGTGTGGCCCAAAGACAGATGTAATGAGAGAGGCAAACATGCCTATTTCTTAGATGCAATTACATAATGATGTTGTCCTTTTGCTGGATACTGCTCCAGGTACAAGCAGTTTCAGTATGCCTGAAAATTCTTTGATACTTCTCCCAACAGGAGGTGGGGTCCCTTCCCCTCCCCTTGAATCTGGGCAGGCTTATCACTTTGTTCTTAACACAGAAAAAATCACACTATGTGATTTCTAAGGCTAGGTCACGCAACACACAGTTTCCACCTGGCTCCTTTGCGATGTTCATGCTTGGGGCAGCCTGGAGTCATGTAAGAGGTCTGACTGCCCCAGCCACC